AGAAAAGTCAAGTTTCTGACAATTAAAGACTTCATTTTTTGACTAAAGAAAAATATTTCCTGCTCTCCTGCAGTCTTTTCCACATCACTCTAGCCAGAAACTTTGCTGTCTCTGAGCAGTAAACATTTACCTGAAAAATACCCTATAATATTTCTCTTTGTGGAGGTTGATAGTACAGATGCTGACTTTGAAACGTGATGTACGACTCCAAGTGGCATGAAAAGAAATGGATGAGACAATTAGAACTTATGAGAATGGTGCTTGCATTAATATGTGGGGGAGAATCACCTAGAATAAAGTATTTCAATCTCCACAGAAACCTTAAAATTTATTTGGCATCTGAAGTAGCTCCCTGAGTTGTTATTGCACAAAGCACAATACAAACATATATAAAATCCTGACCTAGACTTCAGCCACTGACTAATGTCCCTTTGACTTCATGGGCCCAGGATTCCAGCTGACTTCTGCTCCAGGGAGTTACACAGAAACACACACAAATCTTGAACATCTAGTATGACTTCTGCTTTATATTGTTGTCATTGTGGCCTAGGATGCTGAAGATATTTAGACATCTCCCTTCTAGCCTACATGCCAGGGGAGGCCAGGGAACACCTGAATCTGTTGAATACTCAGAGGATAAGTATCTACCTAACTGCTACACAGGGGGATCTTGTTCCTTGTGTGGTGTCTTTCTAGTCCATGAGACTCCATGTGAAGTGGAACAGCTATGCCAAGAGGGCATGAATATTTGGCCTCAATATGAAGTGTCCTTATGCATTCCATAACACTTGTGGCATTTCTTTCCGTTCCAAAGCATACAAAGCATTTTTGAATAACTGCCCGTCCTTTACATGGCCTCTTTTTTTTTACCCTCTATCAGTCTGCTTCCTGTAAAGCAATAAAAGCCTTTGCACAGTAGGAGATTTTTATGTCCACTTTGTGACTGAGCAGCAAGTAAAGCTGGGAGGAGAAGAGGACAGCTCAGCCAGCCTTGGTAATCAGCTCTGGCTTGGAACCTGGAAAACCCATTTGAGCATGCATTTGCTCCCGTGTTTTTGCTTTGCAACCACTACACTAGTTAGCATTTGAGATTTCTGACTAGAAATATTGTTCCTTTTGCAGATAGAAGTGTTTAGCTTTATTATTTCTAGCTGGTGCTACTTCAACACCTGGAATTATATAGGGATGAGGTAATTCCTTTAGAGCTATTTACTTATGAACTGGCCAATGGTCCAGATCATGTCAAGTATCAGCATTTCAGTACCCTCCTTTTTAGAGATGTTGTGTCTTTCTGAAGCCTCTCTTGCCTTATGGCAACTACTTTTTTACTTTTGATAATTATTTTTTTAATAATACATGTGTCTTAAATATATTGTCTTTTAGCAGAATACTTTGACATCAACAGCTACACAGGTCTCATTTTGCAAACCACAGCTTACTCTGTACCTGTAGGAGAACTGGGCTTGAGGCAGGTGCATTGCACCTACAAATTTCTCCCTGCAAAACCAGATTTTTAGTTGTTATTTTTTACCCTTTCTGATATTAAAATTTGTACTCAGTATTATTGGTGTTTTGATACTGCAGGAACATCTGATAACATGAGTCATGGACCAGCCTCATTGTTGTATTGTGAGCTGTTTTGCTTATCTCTTTACTTCTTCTGTGGAGTGCAAGTATAGCTGTGAGAAGGGGGGTCATATAATTTTTGTTCCATACCTTGAGAGCTTTTGTAACATGAAGATTTAGATCTAGAATTATAATTGTGTGGGATGCTGTATGCACAAGCAGAATGACAGCCCTTGCCAGGTAGTTTACAATGATGTATTGAGAATTCTTTAAACTGAACGTGGACATGGAAGATGCACCTATCTCTGAAGGACAGGTACAATTAGATTGACAACTTGGATGTCAGGTTTCTTGTTGATCTCATTTAAAATAGTTATTGCCACTCCCTCCCTCCCTCTATTCCCTGAAATGAGTCTTATACTGGAAATGCTGACAAGACCCTCATCATTTGCGATTGCACCGTGTGCAGCTTTAAATACTGGTTATAAATGTTAATGTGTTATCTGAATGATATTTTTTCCATATGTAGGCAGCTCAGGAGAGAGTCTCAGTAATAAATTTAACGAGTTCAGGGGAAGACGCAGTATATGCTTATGTGAGTATTATAATGATTGGCATTTTTGCAAACAGCATATGATAAGTGGCGCAATTTTATTTTCAAAGTTTAATCAATAGAGAGCTCTTTGATATTGCCTTGTACTTTTCAAATAGATGCTTCCTAAGAATGACAGCAAAACAATTTCTCCATCATGGTGTGTATATGCTTGGGGTTTAATCAATCTGCTTTAGTGATTGTCATAAATTTTGATATTCCAAAAAATAAATAGAAACTATAAAATAATTATGCTTTGGGATGGCATCCTGTTGCTGCTTGCCTGGGTCATCTGGCTTCACAAATATTTAAAAGGATGCACAGTCCATCACTGTGCCAATTACAGGAGCATGGGCCGTGTACCATTTTATTCCCATTTATTGTAAACCCTCACCAGGTGTTGCAGAGGAAATTGAGATGGATCTTCAAGGGCTTAAGAAGGACTTTATGAATGCCTTGTGTTAAACTTTTTGAAGTGAATTTGCCCTCAAATAAGAGGAGCCAAAAATTACCACCTCACTACACAGCAACCTCCACTGTAATTTTGATCCATGTGGGGTCATCAGAAGTGGCTGAAGCTCCTTTTATGTGAGCCAGAACATCCACCTAGCCCAAACCCCCTGAGGTGGTCCCTTCAGTGGCCCCCAGAACCAGTACAGGTGCTCTTCTGGGAGTCTGAAAGGAGCAGTACGTCTCTGGCCTTTCTCTGGGACGTTTCAAGCCAGTAGAGAGGACTTTGAGGAGATGCCCAATGCTCTGGGTGAGCTTTGTTCTTGCTGAGCAGAGCCCAATTGCCTGTGTCTCTTTTGTTCTTGGATACAACAGTAGCAGCTGAAAGCTGAACTTTGGAAGATCATTTCACAAGCATTTGAAGGCTGGCCATGTCCACACAGAGCTGTGGTGCCAGTCCAGCTTGTCCTCCCTATTGCAGGAACCTGCAGAAATTCATGCTGGCCCCACAAAACCAGTCCCAGGGAAGCCTGCCTGGAGCAGATGGTGTTAATGATTTTTTGGATGTGGCAGCAGAAGGACACACACGATGAGCTTGGAGATAACCTTTGGCAGGGAACTCTCTCTGTCACTTCCACTCTTTCTGATAAAAAAATATAGTAACTGGTAGGCATTTGGGAAACAGGGAAGCTGGAGCATTTCAGGTGATTTGACCTGAATGTAGCAAAGTGCCACGAGCACTGACGCAGAACCTCCAGAGATGTCAGCAGATCTGTGCCAGGCACCACTGCAGGGTATGACCCGGTCGGCATCAGGATGGATCCTCATCTCAGCACAGGAATTCCTCCAGAGCCATGAGGGATTTTGGCAGGCTGACATCAGTGTAAGACCAGGGTTTAAGTGTGCTGTGCATACTAGATGAGTTGTTGTAGACACTCGTGAAAAAAAAAAAAGATCATTGAAAATTTATTTATTTTTAACACTTTTTACTTGTGGCAAGAAGATCCTGTTTCAACATCCAGATATTACAGCTTCAGCTGTAGCTCCACTTACTTTCATACAAAGATTCAAGGGGATGACCTAGAGAGAGCAAAGGGTTTTTACTCTTTTTTTTATAATTTTGTTTTGTAATATATATGTGTGTGTGTGAGCTCTGTATGGGTAAATATATACATGTAAGTATGTACATCTGTTTGTTTAAATAACATGTGTTTTCCTTTGCTGTCCCTGACCAACATCAATTGCTGTGCTGCCTTTGTAAATATGCTGCAATGGCCGATTCTTTTGAATTCTTTGTGCTATCTTTGCTTATGCTGAATAGCAGCTGACACTTTAATTGGGATGACTGAGCTGAGTGCATTCGCCTTTGGAATTGGGCACTTTTCAGTGCGAAGAGAGGGTACCACAGACTGACTTTTCTGTCTTTATCCTCCACCAAAACTCCATTAAATCAGACCTACAGTTTGTAGCAAGGGACAATCTCCATTGCATTGAAACACATGGGAAAGGCTGGAGACTCAGTTTTGAAGGTTAATTAGATCCTGAAAAGAAGAATTAACTGAATTTGTTTTCTGTATTTTTTCCCCTATTTTTAAGATCTTTTTAATTACTTTCATCTCTGTTGGTGATGACCACTTTTCTCTTTATAGGAAAAATATCGTGTACTTTTGAGTTTATTAAAAACCTTTTTGATAGACAGATTCTAATTCTCATTTTAAACAAAAATAAGCATAGTGCTGGCACATTGTGTTAAAATTTAGGCATCAGAACTTACTCTATATTAGTATGAGCTAATCTTTATTTTTGTTTAACTGAGTGCTAACATTATTCAGACTTAGGCACTAAATGGAATTTATTTTTTTTTTTCAGTTGGCTACATTATCTTTGGAAAATGAAGGAAGGAATAGTTTAGGACATGACCATTCAAAAACTCTTTGGTGGGGGTGGAAGTTTCAGCAACCAGTTCTTTTTTTCAGGTTCCTGTTATGCAGCTGCTGTTGACCCTACTGTTGATTCAGAAAGGTAAATGTTCTCCTTTTCAACTCTCTCTGGAAGATTGCCTTTTGCTGCATGAAAACATGCTTCTTGTATTGTTATAGTAACAATAGTTAAGTGACCTGCTCGTGTGCCACCAGAAAAATCACTTCCATGCCCCCAAAGAGGGCTCTCAAAACCTAAGAGTTCCAGCAAAGACAGTCTCCTTGTGGAAGACCATGAAAGGTTTGAGGTAGGAGAAAACTGTTCATTGGAGTCAGTCTTATAACTTTCTTCTTTGTGTGGCTGAAAATAGAGCTATTTATCATGCTTACCCTTCGGTGTCAATATACATGAAGAATGGAATGTGTTGTAGGAGGGAGACATCATCTTGTTCTTTTACTCAATTTTAGTTGAATTGATTTTGCAGAGGAGTAAAGTTGTATTTTTAGTCCTCCTCCCCATTCCAGGTTTCCTTGTGTTACATTCACCTCCAGCCCTTTCCCCCACATCCCTTCAGAAAGTACTGTGTATTCAGTTCCCTTAACCCTTAGCAATAGTCCAGGCAGGTGGTGGTTTGAGCAAGTTCAAGGAAGGCACTGTAATTTTAGCAGTAATAATATGGCTCTTCTCATTCTAATGGTATTCCTTGCTCCATGTGAGATTAAAGCAGTTTTCTGTGACTTTACTGTTGCTGTACAACAGACTTCAGTCATGAAAGAGTGATGTTCTCGATGGATTGGAGGATTTTCTTCTTGATCCTTTTTTTCTGTTCTTATGATCTCAGCTCTAGGTTTTAGATCTGTTATACTGAATGTAAAAGGCCTGGAAAAAGCAAGACTGGACAGAGACTGACAAGATAGACCAATCAGTTGTGTTACAAAAAAAAGAAGTAGCCAAAGTGGTAGAAGCACAGAGGAGGGACTGCTGTGGGAATGCAAAAGAAAAATGGGGTAAACTCAATTTTTAGAGCGTGGTTTGGGGATCCTGGGTGATCAGAAGTAATCAAATGTTGGAACTGGAAGCCATGACCATGTAAAACAGTGCTGAAACTAGTTGTCCTGCTGTGATGCTGAGGTGAGGTGATATCTCATGGTGTTTATGAACCAGTGCATGCTGCAGTTTCCTTTGTTTCTTGGAGTGGATTGAGGCTCTCTGCAGCATATGGCAGCAGGGCAGCCACAGCTTGTTCTCTTTTCTGTATATTGGGTGTTGAAAAGCAAGTGATGCCAATGCTTCTGTAGCTCTGCCCCCTGACTAAGACCCAGGCACTCTCCTGCTGCAGACCCCTGAAGCCAGTGTGGTGATTCCCAACTGGGCCAAGGAAAGCAAGCAGGAGCTACTGTGAGAACACCTGTTCCTGCATTTCTCTTGGTGTTCTAGTGCTCTGTTTACATGACCACACATCGTTTTCAGCACTAATGACCTGCTTGAGGTGCTGAAGGAATACAGTCCCACAGCCAATCAGGCTTAGCTTCAGAAATTATCGGGACCATTACTAGATCTTGGAGTTTTACTTTTCCATTCTAGCTGTGTTTCATTCACACTTAGGCATTTCACACCTGCTGTCATGTAAGAGTTCTTCAGCACAGCCCCATTTCACACATCCTCAGGCATCCAGGAACATCTGTAAAGTGACTGATTTCATCTGGCTTACAGCACATTCTCAAGTCTTGGCATTCTTGCTTTCATGGCTTTGGGGTTTTGCAATGTAAAATCAAACAGGCATCAGTTGACATAAGCAGATACAGATTAACTGAAGGTGGAGGTGTTCACAATTAACTAGTGTGTCTAATGGAAGCTGTGTCATGAATTCCCCCTGTGGCTTTGAAACTGCTGGCAAAACAAAGTCCAGGCTTATTTGACACTGAACCCAGTACTACAGCTGGTGTCTGTGCAGTGCCCAGGAACCTTGACTATGGCTCAGAAGCCCCTTGCTCTGGATAAGGGAAAACACAGAACAAGATGGTCATTGCCCCAAGTGTAACTGTCGTGTGAAACAGAGATTCCTTGATGCCATCAGTCTCTAAACAGCCTAGAGAGAGCACAAAACCAATCTCCTTTGAAAGATAGACTTGGTTTTGCTGATGTTAGAAAACAAGTTGTTTGGATTCCATACAAGGGAGCATCTGATGATGAGTTGCTTTTATACAGAGCAAGTCAAGATGCTTTATGTAATTGCTTAGTGTCAGAACAAAGCTGTATTAACAGAGCTTAGCAAGTTAGGGACCCAAAGCCATCATTTTCTGGCACCTCCTGAAAGTAGTGTATTACTTTGCTCACAGGCAAAGTGCTGTCTGAGCAGAGGAGCTGATGTAGTCAGACAAATACCATGGCCAGGTTCATCTAATGTTTGTTGAGGTCAAACCTCCTGGAAGGCAGTGCAACAGAGGTGCTCTGTCCTGAGCTTCTGAGGCTGTCACCTGCTAATTGGATAGACTGTCTCTGCCTTAGTGCTGATCAGAGTTAATGCCCAAGATCAAAAGATAGCTCAATGAAGATAAATTTGCAGCATGAGAGAATTCATCATGTATTTAAAGTTACTGAAATGTGGAATAAGCAAAGCACTGATATTATGGAGGTGTGCATAAGAATGTAGCAAGGCAAGATCCTGAGGCACTCACTGAATCTGAAGTTTACTATGGAGTTTAAAGAATATTAAGGGTCCTAATTTGTGTTTGAAGTTATAGACTCTTCCCAATATTAAAATATATTAAAATTCCTCCCTCAGATTCTCTAGAAATGGTCCCACATTTCTAGAATATACCACAGGACTTTCTGTTTGCTGTCTGATCCTTCTACCACTATATCAGCATGTAAAACAGGCAAAACTGGCTCTGCCTGTCATATTTCTGTGCTATAGGGGACTGCAACAAAGTCAGAGAAATTCCTGCCACACAGATGTAAGAATGGGGAAGCACTGTGTTGGGGGTACTATTCTTTCCCATTAAGCCTCAGCCTTGTCTTTCATCACCCATGAAAATTTACTGTCTTACAGCTGAGTACCACTTACCTCTATCCTGAAGAGCCTCAATAAAGGTGAGAACTCAGGCATTATGTAAACTGCTGAAACACCTGTTACAGTAATTTTTCATTTTACTGAAGTCTGTAAAGTTTTTCCAATTGCCTTTCTTTCTATTCAGACACTTTGGGATATATGGCAGGTGAAGGCTTTTGAAATAGAGTGAAATCTAACCTGGAAATGTGGGGGAGCTTTTTTTAAAGCAGGTGTACATACACACACTTCCTACACAAACAACCTCCTTTTTGCCCATGTGAAAAGAGATGTGTTCTCAGAATTTGCAGCCAGCACATCGTGTTTACATGTGTTACACTTCCAGGGCATCAAACAGCGATCAGCAGGGTAAGGCTGGAGAGGACAGAACCTTTCTTTCTGCTGCAGAACATTCTGGTGGGGTGTAAGACAGCGAGGAAACATGGGGAATGCTGAAGAGGTCTGTGCTGTCCAGGTAGAACTCACCATCCTCTGACCAGCAGCAGAATGCTTATGCAGAGGATGAAGAGCACTGTTTAAGGCAGATGGAGCCAAGCTAGGATCTACCAGGAGCATATTGGGGTGTGTGTGTTCTGCTACTTCATTAGCAGCACTCAGTGTTCCTTCAGTGCTCTGATCCTTGATGGCCTTTGAGCATGAGACTGCTTCCAGTAATTTGCCTCATCTGCTTCTTCCTTATCAGGTGGCCTGTAGCACACACCAACTATAATGTCACCCAGCGTGGGCTGCCCTCTGGTCCTGACCCATATGCTGCCAGCTGTCTTGTCACCTGTCCCAAGGCACAGACAGCTCCAGGTGCCCCAGTTATCTCTCACATAAGGGGCAGCTCTCCCTCCTTGGTGTCCTGGCCTGTCCTTCCTGAAGAGCTGGATCCATCCATAGCAGCCCTCCATGGCAGCTGACCACCCCCCTCCTGATCCTACCAAGCTAGTGCATCACATGTCTGTGGTGCCAGCAAAATCATAGCCCATCCCAGCACCTTTACTGCCTCCTGTTTGTCCCCTGTAGTGTACAGACACTTACTGGGGACCATTATGAACCACTGTGAGCCAGCATTTAGGCTTTGCACCCTGTTCCAGCAGCAGGCAGGTGCAGGGGAGGTCAACCAGCCCCAGAAGGATTTCTTTACTTGCACAGCACTTTCCAGCTCCAATGAACCACTTGACATCGAGGGACAAACATCTCACCAGTGGCTCACACACCTGCCCCAGCACCCCGGTTACACTGCCCTGCACTTGTGTGAGCCCAGCTGCCTGTTGGTGTGGCGTTTACAGGTGTACCAAGTGCACAGAATTTAGCAAAACTGTGACCTGAGCCCTCTGCACAGCACTCATTAGCAGCAGGCTCAACCCTCAGCACTGCCTGGTGCATACTAACAACTTGTTTTCATCATTGCAGAGCATGGGAACTGCCTCCATGTGCCGGCATCCTCAGCCATTCCTCGCGTGGCTGCTCGGGGTGCTGGGGCAGCCCTTGGGGTTTTGGGAGGTCACAGGTGATCACATTTACAAGAGGAAAAAAAGGAAACTATCACTTGTTGAGAAGACTCTTCACAGGATTTGTGATAAGTAAGACTTTGCTTTTTTTTTTCTCTTAGTTTGCAGACACTTTTTCTGTAACTTCTCTTTTGCTTTGGGTTGAGACAAGATGCCCTCTACACTGGCAATATGATGCTATGGATGTGGCAGTCTCTCTTTTTCACGCTGATTGCAGGGCAAGAAGGCAGGGGAAAATAAATCTGAAAAGGAAAAAGGTGGTGCCATTCTGTTTTCCCTTCTCCCTTTTCTGCCTACTCTTTTTCTCAAGTCTTTTTCCCTGGTAAAACCCTCCGAGTCCCAACTAGCAAAATGCAGAGAGTCATGGGCTCAGTCAGTATGTGTCTACCCTAAGTTGTCTTTTATTTCTCCTTGTAATCCAGACAAGTCTTGCATGTTTTCTGCTCCATTCTTTGGGTCAAGAACACACTGGTTAATAGCCAATTATTTCATACCCTAAGGAAGTTTTGGGGAGAAGTTCCTGGGAAGAGTCAACTTGTTTTGGGAAATGAGACTAATATTAAGTGAGATATTTCCCTTTGCTCTCCTTTTTAATACTGTCCCATTGCAGCACAAGGCTGAATTTATTGCTGTAATAGCTGGGATTCAGATAAAGCATAATAGTTTCCCTGAATTGGTTGTTGGTTTTTTTTTTCTTCTTCACAAAAATTGAAGGTTTAGCCAGGACTTTGTGGCAAAATTTGTTAGGTAATTAAATTCTGCTTACTGAAAATCCCCCTTTTAGAATCTATCCCAGAATACAGCTTGCTTTTCCTTTGAGCACTTTTAAAGGACTAATTCATTTTAAATTCACAGCTCTCCAAATTCTGAAGCCTGCTGAAATTTTCCTTGACAGCCTAAACCAGAATGTGCAGCTCCACCTGAGGCATCTAAAGGTATATTTTTGCATGCTTAATTGTTGTTGTCTGTATTCTTGTTTAGATCCAATTCATTTAGACTCAACCTATGACTAGCAGAAGTAAACAAAATTATTTGCATGGGAAAAGCAAGCATTATTTAAAACTGTATTTTTAGTAACAAGTAACGTAGACCATGAATAAATTCAATTTGTGTTTCGAGGGCTGTTTTGCGTGTGCAAAAATCCAGTAGTGAAAAAATAGGCTGAAAGATAATCTGAGGGGTGCAGTCCAGAACAGATGATCCACAGTCAAAATTACTGCAATTTATTTTTTTAATTTACTTCTGCTACTTTAATTTATTATTGTTTATTGATTTGATAGATGGCATTTAATTTCAGTTTGAGAGCTTCAGGATGAGTGTTTGATGCTAATGGTTGGAATTTATTCCTGGGCAGAAAGCCAACATGCCACAGCCATGTTCCACTTATGCCCTCCAAGCTGTATTTAAGTGGCCTTCTGTGGCCTTTGGGGTGTGTTTTACACAGGAAACTTAAAACCTATTGCAGGCCTGCAGCTCACTTGCTGGAGCAAGGGAAAGGTGGCTTTCCCTCTCTTCTGTTCTCTTTAGCAAGAAAATCAAATTATTGGATTATTGGCCCTTTGATTGTGCTCAGCACGGATAGTTCAAAATCCCATTGTATTGGACCTCTGAGATGAAACATAAATGGATGAAGAAAAAAAATGCATTAAATTGGTCTAATATGTCAGTAGGATGCTAATACCTGACTAAGTGGAATGGCTATGATTGTTCTTCTAAACAGCCTAATGTGTGCAACATATCTGCTGCTAGACTGGCCACGTGGAAAATAGAAACAGTAAATCAAAAAAAGCCACCCATAGGACCCTGTTAGAGGGATAAATGAATGCAGATTTTCTTTCCTTGCTTATTTTTATTTCTGGAAAAGAAAATCAAAGCAAACAGATTGATCCTTTGCAGGGTCAAAGTTGCAATTAACCAAGGATCTATGTAGCATATGAAATATTGGCGGTAATAGATTAGAACCTGACTGCTTTGTTCTACCTATACCTTCATATACATTGACTTGAACTTTGAATTTACTACCCTCTGTCATTTTTTGTTTCTTGCACACATGTTTTATGTATTTATTTAGGGCTAAATTCTATTTGTTACCTTGTGTTTTTAAGACATAATATCAGCAGAGACTGGGAAAAGCACTGTAATAGATTTTAAACTACTTTATTATTGTCATCATTGTGCATATTCACACATAAGTATCATGGTCCAAATGATTTCGAGGCAAATCATTAAATTGTGCACAATAAATAAGTCCACGTGAAAGTGCAGCTGAAGTGAATCCCTCTATTTTACAAAGTGGAGAAGACTTCTTTAATAGCCAAGGATTTGATTCTTTCATTTTACATTAGACTGGTCTCTCTACATGTTGTTAAAATTGTTATCTCACTGTCCCTTTGTATTGATGTGTCTCTAGAGCAATAAATAGCTATTGAAAGGCAGCTGTCATTGTGACTGTGTGTGAATTCCTTTCCCTCCCCAGTTTTGATGGATTCAGTCTGGACAGGGAGCAAAGGCTGCACCTTTGGATGATATGAGCAGGTACCTCTTGTGTTCAAGTGAATTTTTTGCTGGCCAAATATCTGAGTAGATATTTTGAAGAGCTGGGTTTAGAATAGAGCCTCCCAAACTGACTAATAAAATATGCATTAAATTAGGAGCTGAGACATATTTTTGTAGCTTGCTGAGATTCTAGCACACGTTGGTATTAGTAAGATAATAAATGCATAATGGATGTGGCACTTACCCACCTGAATATTTCTGAGTTAAAAAAAAAGATTGATAGACAACGCATTCCATTAGTTCTCTCTTTTACAACTAATAAACTTCCAGTTCATTAAGTTATTACATGCCATTCCTCATCTCACAAATAGAACCCATAATTCAGTTTTTCCCAGAGCTGCACATTCTTTAAGTCTACAGACTAAATTGCCAGAGCACATTTTGTCAATAAAGCTTCTGTTTGGTAGGAGAAGAAAGGGGCAGTTAAGTAAAGTAATATGAAATGCAACCCATTTTTCGTGTCAAAGGTCATGTATTTGCTTCAATATTGCTTTTATTCTATTAATAAGTTCACTGAATGATGATTATTATGGAAAGTTGGTGGTTATTCACTGCATTATGTTTAAAATGTTCTACATTTTGTTCCAGGCTTTTACACTTGTGAATCTTTAGTGTTATCTTGAGAAGTAAACTGTCCTTTTGCAGTGAATCCCTGAAAATGTATTAGTTCAGCTGTGCATTTACTGAAGGATAAAAGCTTTCTTCTGTGAGCAGTTGGAAAGCCAGAGAGGCAAACAAAAAATCAGCCATGTTCTGCAGCCCTAGCCCAAAAGACTTGTCGCTTCCTGAGCCAGCATTGCCCAGCACAGATGCAGGCAGCCAGTGACACCTTCAGCATGGAAAGTTATATGGGACTAATTTGGGTCCTAGACCAAGTTTCCAACACTGCTCTTCTCACCAGGGCTTGAAGAGGGATTACTGTGCTCTGTGTTGAGTATAATATATAGTATCTATTTGTAAAAAATACAACCTGAGATAAAATGCTTGCCTAGGGAGTGGGATAGAGTGGTCCAGGCTCTTCACAGCTTGCAGTGATTTAATACCATTTTTGCTGTCCAGAGAAACAGGCAATTGTGATGAGATTAAAAAAAAAACAGTCTGCCCTTTGCTCTGCCAGCCCTGGCATCTGGGTAGATGTTCAGATAAGGGTGCCAGTAGGTTGTAGCTGATCTGCCCCGTGAGACAGCACTCTGTGAGGAGGGAGTGAAGTGAGGGCCGGGAGGGGGAACAGGGCAAAGCAGCCACCCTGCAGCAGATTTAGCTCTATTTTGGGGGGTGGCAGGGGCAGACCCCGGGAAGCATCGCAGTGCCTGCCTTGGGGAGGAGTTGCTCTAACCCTGGGAGGCTCAGTGCCTGTCTTTTCCCTTGTCTCACCCTCTTCTGATTAAAGCCTGCTTGCTGTTTTCTTCTCAGTGGGAGTCAGCAGCTGTGAGCAGTCAGCATTTCCGCCAGAAGGAGAAGGAGCTGTTCCCTACCCAAACTTTCTGAGGGGTGTATGGTTCAGTTTGCTGCGTGTCAGCAAATTAACATCACCTCTACAGGTGAATGGGCACTGAGTCAGGGTTAGTCTGGTAAGGAGAGGAATGAGAAAGATTAGTACTGACCAGGAGCATTGAAGCCTGCACACTACTGGGAGGAGGTGTTGAGTAACATTTTAGCCTGTCTGGATCTGTCCAAAATGCTATCACACTGTATTATGTTTCTTTAATATCAGCTAGTAATTCTTCTCATGATATTTGTAGTTAGCAAATACACGTGTGACTGTTGTCAATTGAAGTAATAATGGTGTAATTTGAAAACACTGTTTTAAAATGAAAAGTTGTAAAATGGTACTAAGACAACAGTGTAATGGGATTACTTTCGTGAAAATTACAAACTGTGAATTATAAATAAGAGAAGAATAGAAGACTTTTTTTTTTTTTGGTGGAAAATGTAATAAATGCAAGGGAAGCCGAAAGTTTCTCATTGATCCTTTTCCCAGAGATCACTGAGGGAACCTTTCATGCAGAACAGTCTGTCTTTGAAGAAGATGCAGTTTTTGTATGTTCAGTCTCTGCAAGTCCCTCACAGCTACAGCAGAGTGTGCACCTGTGGATCCATATTGCTATGTGCTCTTGGGCTTATCTCCATCTGGACTTGAAACCCTGCTTAGAATATATCCTGCCTTCACACTATGGAATCATGCTGCCTAGGCTATATGAGTGTCCTAAGCTAACCTCTGAAATGCTGGCTCTCTAGACCATCATGGAGTTGGGTCAATAATGTTTTGCCTTATCAAAGCATTTATAAAATCTGATTTTTCTAGATGGCTAGGTGGTGTAATATTCAGTATTCTAATGGAGTTTCTTAATCTACCATCACTCTTTACTGTGATCTTGGCCCATGTAATTTGATTAGCTGTTTATAACTTTAGTACCTAATATATAAAAAATGGCAGTGAGCTGGAAATATTCAGAAGAACCAGAAAAGCAGACTGGGAGCTGTGGGCCTTTTGTAACTGCTGACGTATCCTGAGAGGCCCTTACACTGAATTTATCCAGTACTTTCGAGCTTTATGTTAAAATAAATAAATAAGTAAAGCTCTTATCTTTAGGCTTGTTGCGTTTTTATCAAGGGAAGTTTTAATGAGAAAGTTTAACTCATCAATGTTAAGTTTTCTACTAATTACGTGAAAGTGATTTTTCCCCTGCAGGCAGGTTCTGTTATCTGACACTCCTGAACTAGTGGGTAGCATCCACGAATGGTGCTATCCTACTTTAGTCTTTTAAAAGAAAAAAAAGTTCTAAGAAGTTATTGATTAGTTAAACAGACACTTCAGAGCTGCATGCTGTTTCTGTAATTCCAGAGTCGGAATAGATATGCTCAGTCTTTCTGCTATAATATACACTGCTTCAGTGGCAAGATGCTTTATGATTCAAAATAATATATTTGACAACATAAGTGAGTGGTCTAGGTCACACCTAGTAACTTAAGCATGTGGTTTTGCTCATTGTTATATAAAATACCAAACGAAAACAAATCTAGTTGGGAGATCAGCATTCACTCCTGGCACACTGGCTATTTTTGCATACTGGCTGTTTTTCATTTTACAGGCCTATCATGAGCTGAGATTGAAGTCACTTTTTTTCCCTGCCGAGTGAATAAATTACAAGTCCTGGAGCAGCGCACAGTGTGCTGTAATTCTTGGCTATAACATCTATGAGCTATGTTTAAACTGAATGATCCACTGCTCAGAGGAGTGATGGCTTCTTTTATAACCCTCTTGTTCTTGTAGACAGTAAACCACTGAAACAGACCATGAACACAAGGGCAGGTTCACCACATTGTCATCTTTTCTGGAGTCTTGTGTGTACTTTTGTCAGTTCTGTGGGGCTCCTTACACCTCACACATTCAGGACTAACTAGTAGTGGTATTTTTTCTTCAGTCTATTTTTTGAATACTAAAACTGATAATTACTAGTCAAGTTTGCGCATCTTTTTGAAGAAGATACAAGTATGTATCTGCTTCAAACTCACATGTAACCTGTATGTATCAAACCCTTTTTTATACATGTTATTGTTCCTTCCAGTAGGTCTTTCTCCATCTGCCCACAAAATGGTTTTTCTACTTCCAGACAGACTCTACACTTCCTACCTCCTATTTACTCAGTCACTTTGTAAATGCAGAGCATTACTGTGTAGAGAAAGCTCAGCTTTCTCACCAATTCTATGACTGAAAATTGCACTTATTGTAATTTTTCTTCTCTCCTGTCCTTGAAAGATCCAGAAATATGATTTTGTCCATTATGTGACTTTCTTACTTGACATTCCTTTGTCATTGCTCTAATGCCAGGCACAAAGAACTGAAAAAGGCTGGGATATATGGGAAAGGAGAGGCCAGGATTGTTCCACATAGATCACAAAGCAGATGTGCCAGGGAAGGTCTGGTGTGTAACACTGCGTTAAAGGCAATTGCATTGCTTGGCTCTTTAAATGCTAAAGAATAACACTCATGCTCACAGCTTCTTCATTTGTTAAACTATCATATCCATAGAAGCAAGGCAACATTTAACGGTTTTTTTTGCTCATGCTGGCTATTGTGATTGAAAACCCCCACCCCAGACTTTACTGGGTTTCTCCTAGTGAGTGGTATGCTTTGTAAGTTTGTGTGATAAACTGTTTTTGTGTATTAAATATAATGTCTGTCTAAGTCCTGATTTTATTTTCCTGTTTAATTTATTCTCCAGATTCTCTGGCCTTCAGTCAATGCACTGGCTGATTAAATTATTATCCCAATAATGAGATTTGACACAATCTATGCCAGTTACCTGTGTGACCTGCTAAGTAGGTTAATTGGCAACCCTGAATAATTATCAGCCACCTCATCTTGCTAATTGAGAGTCTGCCAATAAATGAAACATAAAAATGCTGAAAAAGACACACAGTTTTTAATTTCAACTTCTGAATTTTTTTCAAAGAAACATTTTAGCTATTAGCTTATTAATAAGATACAGCAATTTAAAAAATACCTCGTGAACATACTGGTTTTATTAGTATAGTTTGCTCTTGTGCATCATCACAACTTCCTAGGAGAAAAAGGACTCAGTGACATATTAGATAAACAGGTCCTCCTATTCTGCAAATTGCTTGTATAAGTGAATAGTTGCATCCTCAGAGAGCCAGCTCGAAAGTGAGGAAAATTCGAGAAGCCAAAGTGATATTTGTGGTGACATTGCAAGACTTATGTTTTAATGCCTTTCTGTGAAACCTTGAGAACTAGAAATTAACTTTATTGTTCAATGAAAGCTGTGATTTTTCTATTCCCATTTCTCAGGAAACAAAGTTAAGAAAAATAAATATGGTACCTAGTGACTCTGACATGTATTGGGTTTATCTAATCTTTTCTACTTTGTTCATTTCTAAAAAGCTAGTATGGTATTTTTTTCTGCCCTAGAAAATGTAAGACTGGAGCTTAGAGAGGAAGAAGAATGGACTCTTAGGGATGAGAAGATGGGGGAAAAATATGTGAGATTTAAACTTGTGGTCTTTTCACAAGGTAATGAGCCCACATTAGTGGTTCAGAACCATGGACTTAATCAGATTTCTTCTAGAATCATTCCTCTGCCCTGGCCAGAAATCCCACCAAAACTCGGGGTAGAAAGAACAATCAAAGAATCCATTTCTTGTTATCAGCAGTTAATGACTGCAACATAAAGGGTGTTCACAGAGGCACTTTGGAGACCCCCACTTGTGCTCTGCCCTGTCCTTGGGCATGTTTGTGGCACAGCTGGGGGTCCTGGGCTGGTCCTTCTCCACTGTGACCCTGCAGCCTGTGAGCACAGGCACCACTGATGGAGCCACACAAATAAGTATTAAGTGCAGAGTAATTTTGGCCCAGTTAAATCTGATTATCATGTGCCATCTCTTATAACATTTTAGCACAGTTTTCCAGCAATTAAAGGCTTGCACAGTCCTCTGATCCACCCCCTCTTATTGCCACTGACATTCCTCTACTTCAGCCTCTGTTTGTGTTTCCATGTTTAAGCTCATGTCATGATGGAAAGCAGAGTGTGCCCTTTTCTGCGTGCAGAAATGGGTCCTTCAAGAAGATACCCAATCCAAAGCCACTCAGTCTTTCTGTTTGTTGGCTTATGGGCTTTAAGGTGGGGTGATATAGTTCAAGAGAGAATTCTGATGAAATCACATAAACCTGAGCCTGAGCAAGTCAGCAGAGCTCAGATGTTGAGGGAGTGACTCACATGTTAACACCAAACATATGCTCAAGCCTCTTTCTGGATCATGGCCATATTGAACTATAATGACCCAAATGGATTTACTCCCCAGACAAATTCACCCTTCACTTTCCTCCTACCCACACATACATTTGCACCTCAATCAACCACTTATGTCTCCTTCTATTTCCTATATCCTACTTTTATTAAAAACTTTATGGCTTGTTTAATCTCTTCTAAGCATGGCTTTATTTCCTCTCTTGGTTTCCTCTATGATTCATCATCAGGGCTTTTTTTGCCCCTACCTAAAGGTTTTCAATTTCTCTGCACAAATTTAATAAAAGCAAAATTGTTAAGGCTTATTAAAGAAGCTGTGCTGTCTTTTTGTGCTCCTTCATCTCACCCCCCCTCCTTCCCCATAAAAAGATGAAGAAGGTGTTGAAGTTGCACATCAGGTGAAACTACTGTCTACAAATGGAAAAAATAATATCTTTCAGCTCTCTTCCTGTGGATTTTTTTTTCTGGCATGTGGTCTTGATGTCTAAAATTATAGGCATTTAGATGTCAGGTAGCAGAAGAGAAAAAAAATATTAAAAAAAGGAGATATTGTGGCAAAATATCAAAGAACTGATGTGTTGGTGGTAGTTATAAGGTCTTTTATTCCTCAAGAATAGCACGGCTTTACAAAGTTTTTATCATACCTGATAGAAAATTAAGGGCTGCTGATATTTTGCAGCTCAGTACTCATTGCTTGTTGATTACATAAGTGTTTTTGAATGAAGGAGCACTGTAAGGTCCTGTGAGAAGCTAAGCTGACATGACTTCTGTCTTTCCTTTTTATTACGACAGTCAATAGCTCAGTTGTAAGGAACAGAATTGCTCTTTGTGACATTCTTTTGGGAGAGCTAGCTAAAATTTGAGAGCAGAAAAGCATTTCTGGAAAAAAAACAACCCAGCATGCCAGACAAATCAATAAGTGGATGGAGCCGAGTCTGAGACTTTTGGGTTGGGTTAAAACCTAAATCAAGATAGTATTGACTCTGCAAAGCCTGTATTTTTGGGGGTGGGTATATCAGAATCAATAGTGCCTTCTCTCTTTATTGGAAAACTTCTATGCATCTGTGCAAGCAAATCCATTCTACAATTGTATTTGTTTTCTTGAGCTAAAGTTTTGTATTTGGTGTGTGTGACCTATGTGTTGTGGCTCTATGGAAATAACAAAAGGTGGATTGTACGTGGTATCTGTCACCAGTGTTCTCTACTGATGACATTTGCAAAGGAAATGAAAAATCTCTGTAAATTCTTTGATGAATTAAATTATGTACAACTCATATATGTAAGTTCTCTATCGGCTGTTCACCATTACCTCAGAAATAATTATTTTATTTTCTGGGAAAAAGATACAGGCATACATTGATCATCAGGATGTGAAAGCATAAACTGTGGGCTTCAGTGATCTAATGCTTTGCATCTATGAAATTTCCCATCCAAGATCTTCTTATTGTATCCAATATATCCAACATTACGTTGCTTAAATGTATCACATCTTTGTGAAAGCTAGGTGTTTGTAGTCCCATTTTGCAGATAAAACTGCAAGGACAATGCAAATTTTACCTGTTTGTGCTCTAAGTTAGTCAAGAATCTTGTGATCCTACACTTGGCAAAAGCATTTGGGCTGATCCTGACCCTTAGGAGAGCTCAACTGGGCTTAGTAGTTTAAACTGAGTTATGTTGCTCTTATTCAGAACTAGTTTGTGTTGACCACCTCGGAGTGCACCCAGGGAAAACCTGTCTCTTTGTTCACCTGCCTATATAGACTTGCCTTGAATAAATCTGAAAATGAGACTTAGGTATCTTTGAACATTTAG